AAGAGCAGTGTTGCCAACTTAGCGCTTTAGTCGCTATATTTAGCCACTTTTCAGACCCCTCTAGCACTTTGATTTCTAAAAAGCTCCTAGCGCCAAATCTAGAGACTTTTTTCTGCTACTGGAGACTTTGGACACAACATCTTGTTTGGGGGTCATTTTCGGACAAAATTCAGACAAAAAAAGAATTCAAGAAATTAATTTTTTTTAAATTTTCGCAACCAAAAAATATTATTTTTAGAGTAACTCTGCTTTCTTTTTTTTTTTACTTTTTTTTTCATTTAGTTCTCTAACTTTTTGTTTTAAAACTTTATTTTAGTTTTTTTTTGTTTTATTTTACAGATTTTTTATTTTTCTACATTGATCACTAAAACTGTTGCTGCTAGCCTCCATGCTGACCAATAGAAATACGTCTTTGCATCTAACTCCGCCCCCAGAACGGAAGAAAGTGTTCTGTTAAATATCTGGAAAATACTATTTAAAAAATAAATAAATAAAATAAATAAAAAAATGAAAACTTCATCCGCAAAAAAAAAAAAACGTGAAATTATTTTTTTGTTGGAAAAAAAAATATGAAAAGAATAAAAGAACTTCAGCAGGAGAAAATTGGTCAAATAAAGCTGAGAAAACAGCAAACTTCCTCTCCAAATGTTTATAACATTTTTATTTCTGGATTTCATTTCCTTCAAATTTCTCTTTTAAGAAATCTGTTCTTTTCTCGGAACAATAACGGAGCATAATTCCCTCCGTACCTTCCAGTTGCCTTCCTCGTTTATCCGTCTGTACTGCAGCTCGTACACCAGCGTGATCCAGCCGTAGCGCAGGTCCTCCGGCACCGGGTACGTCCAGGAGATCTGCGCGCTGTGGCCCGCCTCGTCGCCGCCGGCGTCCATCAGCGAGAAGGTCAGGTTGACCGGAGACTCCGTCTCCACTGTTCATGGAGAGAAACAATGAAAACTGGCGTCTCAATGAGGTTAGCTGGAGAAATACCAATCTAACAATTAAATACTGGTGATCTGTGTGAGCCATAAGGAGAATCAGCGAACTCTGCTCTCCAGAGCGAGTAGATTGGTAACCCCGCCTCCTGCTCTCAAAACCTAGAACAGATAATGATGTCTATTCTATTAACATTTCTCTGTATAATAGGTGTTTTTTTTATGTGTTGTCTTCTATACTCAGAGGGCCCCCTGCCTGTCTTTGCCTAGGGCCTTAGATTTCCTAAATCCGCCCCTGCCTACGGGTTAGATTGTCCAGAAACTAACCTTTCCAGTTAGGCTGACCTATGGCCGAGGAGCGCGCTGCTTGGAGGCCAACGTCTCCTCGGAGGATTAACTCCGACATCAGGAAACTGTGACCTTTCTGCGGCGGCGGCCCTGCACCACTGCGCCACCCTGATAACAGCCGCTTTCCTGCCTTACTGCAGTGCCTTGACACAAACTAGGAGATCACCATGGCAACCACAGGCCGGCCGTATGGCCGCTGCACGGAGGGCAGCGCTGATAAAGCACACATGGGAACCTGTGGTTGGTCCCATGATGCAGGAAGTAGACTGATCCTGACAGCAACCGACATAAAGGAGATAAAAACGACCGCTGCTGTTCAGACCATTTATTTTCTGCAGGTTTCAGGAGTTTGGATCAAAATATCAGCTCCATCAGTGAAACAGCAGCAGTAAGAATAAAGAGGCAGCTGGTTTTCAAACCAAGAGGCTTCCAGGATTTTTATTTGATTTTTCAACAATTTTAAACGTGATTTATTCCCAGCAAACAGATTTATACAAAAATTAAAAAAACAGTTTATCCGCTTTTCAGTCAAACCAACCAAAGGTGGAACCAGAACTAGGTGAAGCAGGGGCGTAGCTAGATGGGGGGCCAGAGGTGGCCAATCATTGCCCACCCCTACCATTTTTTTCGCCCTCTAATACAGACACACAGCAGTAATATTCTCAAACTTATTAAACATTTTTCATATAATAACAATTAATTGACAACTAAAACACTCTGGTTAATTAAGCACATCAAAAAACTAACATTAAAGTTGATATAAACTTAATTCATGCTAAATTCTGTGTTTTATGGCGTAAAGAAATAATGATGTGTCTCTGCAAGTCATCAAGGAGTGAAATCAGTTAAATCATATACAAATAACTAGTTTAATAATAACCTAAAATCCATTTAATGTTGATATTATTACATGTAAATACACTGATTTAAAAAAATTAAATAAAAGTAGGTAACTAATGAAACTGCAAAAGACGTTCGCCCCAGAAGTTTTGTCCACTACACCTGTTATTTTGCGTGGATGTTTAAATATATGCGTCTATTTGTTAGCAAAGGCTGTAGGAAAGTAGAAGTTGTCTTTATTTAGAAAATATGGATGTTTTTTTCTATTTCCTGTTGAAACAGCATAGATTGACCCAGAGGTTCTGGTTCCTATCCGCTTTCAGCCGCCCCTCAGTGTGCATTGGTTAATGCATGGCCACCCTTACACACATTTTCTGGCCACGCCTCTGAGGTAAAGTTAGGAAGCTACGGAAGAGCATTAGTGCCACTGAAAAAATAAAAAAGATTAACTGATTTTAAAATATTATTTCAGTTTTCTTATTTTTTCAGAGGCCATAATCCTCTTCAGTAGGAAGCAGGCTGATCTGAAAAGGCGTTTAGGGGCTGCAGCAGCTCCCCCTACTGGATAGCTGAGGATGTGCATTTATTAACATAAAAATAACACCTAAATTTGTCCTTTCATGTTTAAACTCTTTGCTCCTTTACTAACTTCAGTTGAATTTACCTTATTGTTAGACTAACTCTGCTTATATGAGGTTATTTTGTAGAAATGAAATCACTAAAAATATTGTTTTTATTTTTTTTAATTCATTAAATCACGGCCAACGTATTAGTTTTAGGTATAAATAATGATCAATTGATTATTCCCTGCTGACTGGAGTTCTCCTTTAAAATAAATAGATTTAATCCGATAAAAGCTCTAAAAAAGACAAAAAAGTAGATCATGATACGATATATGAGAGATCCAGTCATGGTTGCTAGGCAACATAAGTTCTGCCCAAGTTGGCATGGTAACATCCAGGAAAGGTGCCTAAATTCAGGTGTGTTTAGATAAAAGATCTGTTTTTTTGGGTTTTTTTACTCAGACATACTTAATATATTATTAGTGTTCTGATGGCAATTTAGCCAAATAATTTTTATAAAAAACATAATTAATGTGCACAAATAAGGAATAGTAGTATTAACTATACATGTAAACAGAGTTTTATGGGGCCCCCCAGGAACTTGGGGTCCTAGGCAACTGCCTACACTGAAAAAAAAAATAAAATTAAATCTAGATATGTAATTTTTTCTTAAAATAAGTTAATTTGTTCTTGGATTGAGGAGGTAAAACAGACAATTTGCCAATGGAACGAGTCAATTTACACTTAAAATAAGAAAAAACAATAGTATTGTCTTATTTCAAGCGCATTTTATCTAATTATCTTATTTTAAGAGGAAAAATGTTCATTTCATTGGCGAAATATCTCATTTGCCTACTCTTTTTTTCCAGTGTACACTGCAAAAACTACCTAGAAATAAGTCAAAATGTCTTAAATTAAGTGCATTTACCCTTAATTTGAGTACGTAAATAAGATTAATTGTCAATGGGATGAGGATTTTCACTCTTAAAATCAGGTAATTAGATAATATGCACTTGAAATAAGATAATGAAATAGTTTTTTTCTTATTTTAAATGTAAATTGTCTCGTTCCATTGGCAAAATGTCTCACTTAACTCCTCATTTCAAGAAAAAAATTCACTTATTTTAAGAAAAAATGACTGATCTAGATTTCGATTTTTTTCCAGTGTAGCGTTGCCTAATGGTAAATCTGCTCTGCCTGAAGCTCGGCTGCGTTTGGATTCCCTCACAGGATGAAACGGGACACTCAGCCCTGAAACCGATCTCTTCCGTTCCCCGTTAGCTCTACTCTGGATTTAATCGGCCTCTCCTTACCGATCTCGGCCACGTCCAGGCAGTACTCCTGGGAGGTGTAGTTCCTCTGGGCGGTGACGGCCGTCACGTTCATGCAGTACAGCTTCCAGATGGACGTGTGGCTTTTGTCGAAGTGGCAGCTGTTGGGACCGGCAGATGTGTAGTCTGGACACTCCTGGTTGACCCCCATGCTGACAAGTCAAAGAGAATCCATCTTAATGTTTTACCATCAAACGTTTATTTTAATTAGTCCTCTCCTGGTTAGAGCAGCAGGATCAGATAAACCGCCTTAAAGGTCAAGACGTGGGAACCAGATTGTTTAGAGCAGATTACATTTAAACACTTTGACCCTTAAATCCTCAGAGAGACAAGTGGCTAATTCTCCAAGATGCTCAACCGAGTAAAATCGACACAGTTTTTCCAGCAGCTTCCTGGTTTAATGCCTAATCAACCATTTTAACTCCTTACACCCAGAGGGTCTCAGGAGCAAATTCTACCTGAAATTACAGACATTAAAACAAGTACAGCTCCCAAACTATAAACTGGAAATACAACCGTTTGTATTTGTAATACAGAAAGGCACTGAGGAATATTTTTCATTTGGAACCACTGTTTTAAATGTCACCAAGTCTGATTTATAGGTGATTAATCAAAGAAAAACATCTAAAATATTTCGCCTCACTAATTTGTTTTCCAAAATAAACGCTGGAAAACATCATGAATATGGAGAGCCATTTCAGCCAAAATTAAATAAATAAATAAATAAAT